AAGCCACCAGCCATGAGCCAGCTGCAGCCTCAGAAACTGAGGGGACTCTGACCCAGGAGGGGCCGTGGAACGCCCAAGGGAGAGCCTTCAGGCCTCAAGGCCTGCTGGAACAATCCAGCGGCACAAACAGCAAGGCTAGCTCAGAGCCTGTTGCAGCGCCATGGTACTGCAGACACAGCTAGGAGAGTAGCAGGAGGCTGCCCACCAGGACCTGCCCTTCCCAGCCCCAGCCTACTTTCAGAGACCAGCCACATCTGTTAGATTCATTTCTTCCCCAGTCCCTCCCTGGATACATTCTGCACCTCTAGGTCATCTTGGAGCCGCCTCTATTGTGGCTGTACCATCTGCCTGAACACACACACACACACACACACACACACACCACACTGCCCCTGCCTGAAGCCACACACCCTGCTGGAGCCTTCAGAAACTCTTGTCGTGGAGTAGGGTTTGGGTGGCTGCTGTAGTAGCAACCTTAGAGGTGTTCAGCTGAGTTTCGCCGACCATGCTACCCACTGCCACCAATCAACTGCCTCCTGCTCACTGAGCACATTCTCTCAGTTAACCCCATGTCTCTAAAGAAGGAGAAACTATTGTCACCAGGGCCATTCAGCCAGGAAGGGACAGCTGGGGTTATCTGATCCAGGGCTGCACAGAGTTGGGATTTCAGTATTCCCAAGTCCCTTATCTCAGCCTGAGGAAGAGTGGCACCTTCTTCAAGGCAACCCCTTGTCTAAGTCTCAGACAGTGGCTCTCAACCTTCCTAATGCTGCAACCCTTTAACAGAGTTCCTCATATTATTATGATATTATTATTTATTATATATTAACACTATAAAATCATGTTGTCACTGCTTCCTAACTGTAATCTGCTACTGTTATGAATGATAGTGTAAATATCTGATATGCAGAATATCAGATCTGTGACCCCCCAACGGGGTCACGACCCACAAGTTGAGAAACACTGGGAAAGCAGGGAGCATGGGAGAGAACAGTGTCCTGGGAAGGCACACAGCACACACGAAGGTGAGAAGCAGAAGGCAGGTGACTGAGCTACAGTGGTGGCCAGGCTCAGAGGAAGATGCTGGAAAAGACTGGAGGGCAGTGGGCACCGGGCCCGGACAAGGAAGGCCAACGAAGAGGTCACAGTACAACTCCATCCTCAGGGTGCTAAAGTGGCAGAACAGCTTGGTTCAGAAAAGAACAGCTCTCTGTCAATGACGTCATCTATCCAAAGGGGCAAGGAAGTGGGACCTGGTGTCTTGGTTAACTGCACCCCACAGCCAAATGTGTGCTACATCACAGGCCAGGACCTGTAGCCAAACTGTCATCATTCATAAGGCCACCACCAGGCAAGCCCTATAGCCTGGCCAGGACCAACTAGTGGGCCTGAAGCCTGGGAGGCTAGGCTGTAGCTGCTCTTCACTGAGTAGGATGGATGGATGCTGGCAGATAGCTAAGGCAAGGGAAAAGCAGGTGAGTACAGAAGGGGTGCTTCCTGATCTAATCTCCCACAAAACAGACCAGCATTCCAGGAGCTGAGGCAGTTGGGGGGGGAGCCTCACACATCTCAGGATGAGAAATGGAGGCCTGGGGGGACCTGTGCAGGCTCTGTGGATGCATGCCTGAATGCACATTGAAGCAATCTTACTTAAACACAATATTCCTTACCCCTCTGAGCGTCTACAAGGTGGAAATGGCTCAAGCCTCTCAGGACTGAGGAGCACCAGCAGAGGCACATGGCCTGGGCTAGCTGCCTGGCAGTCCAGGCTGCTTGACAAGTGTGAATAGGTGCTGTGTTTGATGGCCCAGGAGCAAAGGCCTGGCCAGATACCAGAATCCCAACCTCTGCTCCCAGACACCAAGAAGCAACAGGAAACCCAGGCCTATGTGAGCCCACGGGCTGGAGTCCCACCCAACTTCCCCTGGCTGGAGCCCTGGGGCGTCAGACCCTTCCTCTGCTTTGAAGGCACGTTGGGAACTGAAGCTCCAGTAAGCTTCCCTTCCCTGGTCCCTAGCTGTGAGCCAAGAGCCCTCCCTGAAGATAAAGATCAAGACTAAGAAGACCTCAGTGTGAGTTTCAGAGCCAAGGACAAGCTGTGTGACTTGAGAGTCGGGTTACCTCTCTGAGCATTGGCAGTCACCTCTGTAGCATGGGGTCTGTGGCACCTTTTATTTGTGTCAGTCTCACTACGTAACATTAGCTGGACTGGAACTCACTCTGTAGACCAGGCTGGCCTCAAACTCAAAGAAATCCTCTTGCCTCTGCCTTCTAAGTGCTGGGACTGAAGGCACGCACCACCATGACCCACCTGTGTCCCTTATTTTAAGATGACAAGTCTCCAGTGATTCTTTAAGGAATGAGCTCTGCAGTAGCCTTCTATAGAAAGCCTGTCTCAGTCTCTTCATCACAAAAGCTCCCTCCTTCCCTTCAGCCCCCTGGGTACTTGGGCTGTATCCGAAGCTCGGATTCATTGGGCCTACACTGAACATTTTTACAAATTACAGCTTCTGTCCCTACTCTATTTTGCAGCCTAGGAGCAAAGAGACTGAGCCACCAGGCCCCTTGTGGACAGAGCAGAGTGAAGTATCAGGAATGGAGTGAGTCTGGGCAGGTGGCCTGGAATGGTGTATCCTCAGTGTCTGTGTGCCCAGAGAGGTCACAAGAGGGTGCCAGATCAGATCTGGAGCTGGAGTTACAGGCAGTTGTGAGATGCTGGGCATGGGTATGGATGTTTGGGACTGAACTCCGGTCCTCTGCAAGAGCACGAAGCATTTTAACTGCTGAGCTATTTCTACAGCTCTGTGGGGGAAGAATTTCCAAATACCTTCCCCTCCCCTTCTTGCCAGCCCCATGAGAAGACTTCCTATGATCTAATACAGAACGGAGAGACAGGCATCCTGGTGTACCTGACGAAGCTCAGTGGAGTCAGGCTGTGTGCAACACACTTTCTACTCCACACTGTCGGCACCACAGACATCTGCCCACTACCTGCCTAGAACCCTGCCTCACCTGTCTCAGGCCAAAGCAGCTGCCAGACCGCCTAGAGCTCTCCTAATCCCAGCTCAGATTACCAGCCACCCTTGCCCGTCATGCTACATACCTTCATAAGTGAAGAGCAGCAGGCCCTCCTGTCCACCCCACACTCCCCACTACATCAACTCATGCCCTGAGCTAACAGGCACACAGAGAGGTCTTAACCAAGATCTGCCATCCATCCTGCCTATGCTGTGTCACCTTGGGTAAAACACTCCATCTCTCCGAGCCTATCTCTACCTACAAAATGACAAAAACCATCACAGCCACACTCACAGACTAGTGTCTTAAAGAGCCAAGGGGATAAGATATGAAGTTTCTATTTCTGCACCCTGTCCTGTGTGTGGCCCTCTAAGAAAACCAGAACAACTCCCAGGCATAGATTCCCTCTAATATTTTACCCAACCACAGCCACAGCATAGAATTAGGATTAGGTTAAGAACACTGATAGAAGATGCCTAAATTCAGGCTTCCACTTGGCAACTCAGTAGCCACAGAGCAAGTAACTCAACCTGGGAGCCCGTTTCATCTGTAATGTAAACCACTGTGAAGAGTGTTTTAGCCCTCCACGGGCTGCAGTTACAGCTCAAATGGGAAACTGAGGCAGTCAGGCTCTGTATGCCCAAAACCCTGCTCTAGGCTAGTCCAGAGTGAACTGCTGGCTGACTGGAGAACAGTCAAAAGAACTCAAGGAAGATCTCTGCCTGCCCGTGAACTCAAGAGGAATGGTGAGATGGCTGGGCTGGTGAAGGCACCACAGGCAAGCTGGAGGATGCTGAGTTTGAGGCAGAGAACCAACAAAGTAGGAGAGAGTTGATTCTCACAAGTTCCACTCTTATCTTCACATACATGCTTTATACATGTACCCCATCCCCCAAAAAATGTTAAATCAGGAAACTTCAAGGACTTAACAGACGGTTTCCGAGTGTTGCTCTGCCTACTGTTCCTGAATGCTGAGTATGTGGCCACCTGGTGCCCTCCCCATTCTAACACTGTGCTCCCACACTGCTGGGCTGGCCTGATCCTATCCACCCAACATCAGCAGGCAGACAGCAGGCCTCTGTAATAACAACTAAAAGACCTCCTAGGTAGATGTGCCTAGAAGAGTGTGGGTTCTTGGTACCAGAACTGCATTCCTTTCACAGCAGAGAACGCCTGCTGACTCCGTTGCGGCCGGCCCCACAGCCACCTGAATACCCGCCCGCACAAGAGGGAGCTTCCATTAGTAGCTCAGGGTGTACAAAGGCCACTTTCAGCAAAGGCATTGGGGCTCGAATTTGGCCTGCCTTCTCTGCCGTTGCTCTGGTGGCTTCCAGGAAACACACTCTTCCTCCTGAGCCCCTCCTTGCTGTTGGCCCCATGACTCACACCCAGAATGGGCTGGCAGGAAGAAAACGCTCTCTGAAGGGTGACTCGACAGAAAGGCAGCAGGCTGTGACCAGGACCTGAGCCTACCACGCGGAGGATGCGCGCGGAGGTGCGGCCGGGGCGGGCCAGGGCAGGGCCTAGCGCCCTTTACAGCACACCGCCAGCCCCAGGATTGGCCGCTGCGGCCACAGGCCTATGGGGTGGTCCTTGTGCAGCCAATCACTGGCCCCGGGGAACCCATTCATTCATAAAACCGAGCAAGGAAAGAGCCCCTCGCGGCCCGAGCTGCGTGGAACTTTGAAGTGAGCGCGCCTAGTGGGGTCCAGATTGGGGATCCGATCCATAGAGCTTAGAGGTGTGCCGGGGGTTGCCGCGTCCCCGCCCACAGTCTCGGGCTAGTAGCTCCAGCAAGCCGCGCTGGGCTCCACCCTAAGCAGGACACGCCTGCCACCCGGCTCCCGCCGACAGCTAAGAGCCACCCAGCCCAGAAGAAGGCGGCTAGCCTGGGGCAGGTGGCCCCATGACGGATGCAGCCATGTGCGCAGCGGAGCATGGCGCCCCCCACGGTTTCCCCTCCCCTGGTCGCCGCGACTCACGGCAGTCGTCTTCGTCGCTGTTGTCCGAGCAGTCGTTGTCCTCATCGCATCTCCACACCGAGGGGATGCAGCGCTCGTTCCGACACCGAAATTGGTCCTCTTCACACTCCTTGACCGGCCCTGCGGGGGTTGGGGGTTGTGAGCTGGGTCACTGAACAGGAGCCCGCTCCCCACCGTGCAGCCCTGGCTGCCGAGAAGTCCAGCGGGTATAGATAGGAAAGAGGGAAGATACCGGTGAGCTCCGGAGCTCCAAGCACCTTAATTCGGAGAGAGGACAGGATGCCACGGGTTCTTCCACTGCAGGACCGACTGATGGCACAGCGAGACCAGACACACGCTTAACGGCCCGTGGCTATACCCCGCCTTCAGACACACTCACCCTCACACACAACGCAAGTCAGGTCCACACAGACCTAGCCTGCGGGAAGCCCCGCACACTGGCGACACACACACCGGGCGCAGGGGCTCAATCCCTTCGCAACCTGTCACTCTCCTCGGCCCGCAGGGGTCCCCGGAAACGCATTGTCAGAAAAGACTGTAACGCTTCGCTCATCATCGCGACGGAGCGCGCGTGTCAAATTAAACCAAACCCCAGACCCTGAACGACTACCCCCCGCAAAGTTCACGGGCCGGGGGGAGGGGCGGCGCCCATCCCCCAAGAGGGCGCCCGGAGCCGGGGTAGAGCTCCGGTAACCAGAACGTGAGCGGGGGGTCCAAGGCAAATCCAGGGAGCTGGGGCTCCCGGAGCCTCTCGCGCGCGGGGCCTCGTCGCACAGCACCCCCTCCTCCCGGCCGCGCTTTGTTGGCCCGGGAAGCGCCGTACGCACCTTGGCCGCCAGGCAGCGGATCCGCTGCGGAGAGATGCTGGAGCTGAAGCAGCAGCAGCAGCAGCAGCGCCAGCGGCCGGAGCGCGCCCCGCTCTGGGCGGCCCATGGCGGGCCCGGGGCTCCGGCCGCCGCGCCC